ARRMMAAAAAAAKCGACTGAAATCAAAAACATACTGCGAAAAAGGAAGAAGCAAAGTGTMTACAAATAAATCCCACTATTCGTGCTCWGATCCGTTAGAAAAGTATTCTGAGACTAAACTTAAAGCAGCAAATCGAAATAAAATGAAAACACACTCAAAGAGAATGTCCTTTTGAAATGTCTCGACACCAGTATGAAATTTCATAGGACAACATTGTTGAAATCRYACAGCTTTGCCCTTCAATTTGGAATAAACATACACAAAGGTTGACTGATTGTAAGGTACAAATTCAACCATAATGTTTTCGACACCAAACCAGGAAAGTGTATCGACACAATAAAATGATTCTGTCAGATGAAAAAAAAAAAATTAGTTTCGTTAATCAATACTTTATGCGATCTGAGTTTACATGGTCATTTTACAAGCTCTCTCCAGCTTTCTTCATTCCTTTGAAAATTACGTGCTTGATTATTAGCATAGTATTTTTTGTGAYAACTCACATTTGAAGAACATCTCTGCCATGAAGCCTCATTTGTAGTAGAGCGGAACATTTGACAGACGAATTTGTTGTTTTTACCTATCCATATCAATGGCATAATGCATGGCAAGATTTTTGACAAAGTAATTCAGAACCAGAACACAGAACTATACTGGAATACCAACAGATGGTGCTTGTATTCAACTGGTTTACTATCGTTGTAAATAAGTCATTAATGAATGAAACTGGGTAAAAGATCAAAATTGTGTCTGCAAATTGCAAATTCCTCGCTGAGAAGAAAACCAATAGCATAATATCACAAAGAATATAATAAGATTTTCTCTATAATAAACGAGTCCAAACTACATTGCCAATCTAGGCTTAAACACCCGCAGAGAACGTCATACTMACTACGTAATTAATAGTAGTTTCAGTTTTTCGGTTTGTGCCTCAACTAGCRACTTTCAACGCCTTTCAACGGCAATACTACTTTTTACCACAATTCTAAATTTTCTGATTGGTCGAGAGCCGTAATAAATAAATATCACGATCGCAAGATTGTTCTTTTTTTCTGGTTTTCTGGGATTGCTATCTAATTGAAGAATATCTTTTTGTGGTAAAAAATACATTTGCGTCGTTACCACGAGACGCTATCATWAATTTGTTAAATATACATGTATACAGCCGCTTCAGAAGACGTCGAATACTGAAGATAGTGTATTCCAAGATCGAAATGCACTGTTTGACWTTATATCACCATTCAAAAACAGTTTYCATGGTTTGCGAGTGACTATACGAGCTCCAGTCAAAAACTTCAATGGAATTTTGAATGGTCATTTTATAAAGCATGTAAGGTGGAGTTAAATAGTAACAATGTGGTGTAYAGGTGTCAGTATTCAATGATATTGAATAAAACAAATTGARGCCCTGGCAKTTTTATTGAGTGGAAGAAAATTTAAWTTAACGCATCCTTGAATAATGCATCCAAGTTCAATTTCTATTTCCTTTTGTTCACRATGAGAGCCAAACGTGGCTCAGAATTGTTAATGAAGGGATTCTAGCCTTGTTTTTTCAAGACTTCAAGGAGGCGATATACTGCAAAAATGCACGAGTATTAATTTGCATTCACACCGAAAAAWCTGTTGGACTATCCGAAAATGTGTTACCATATTGATTTGGCACATAAAGACTGATATTTCAGCAACTTCGCGTGCCAAGGAATGGGGTTCCGGGACCCCTAGAGCCAACCCTCATACACGACAYTGACTAAATTCAATAAAATAGCACCTGATTGAAAAAACATGTGACGCAAAAATGTGACAWCATGAAAGAAAAGTCGAGATGGGATGAGGTTGGAAGAAAAGCCGATTTGCGAMTATTGCCTCAGTAGTCACACACAAAGGAATTTAGACGAGGCGCCGTGCATAAAGCTCACCCATTCGTGAAAAGAAAAGAGCTTTTCACGACTGCTGGGCTTTATGGACGACATCTCTTTTTTGTGATTTGACTACTGAGCGGAAAATCGCAAATCGCCAATTCGACAACAGATTAGTGAAAACAMGAGTTGCAGGCGAGTGTTGCTGAGTGTTTGCACTTGCCCTAGACTCAGTCTTAAAGTGCCTATACACCCTGCCAAATATTGTTTTGAGCAGGAGCCCATGGGCTCATAAAAAATTGGATTTCGTCAAATCTTCACTTTTTTTCAACAGATACATCATTTCGTATATCTATCTTTAATATATGTTGGATTTGGCTAGGGTGCATAGGCACTTTAAGCAATAGAACAATAGAGACGAAGMCACAATTATACAAAAGGTCACGTTTCAACAAGTTTTAACTTAAAAAACTGTTCGATAATACACTCAAATACTTACTCCAAAACTTCCTGTTTTATTTCTGTCTTTGGAAATGAAACGTCTTGAAAGAACACATAGTCCCATACATCAACAGTCATCTGGTCAGCCCTGAAAATATTTCAAACCTCATTTGACATTCGGCAATGTTATCACAATCATTAGCGCATGATATAAACACACTGAATTATGTAACAATGCGCGTAAGAACTGTAGAACTCTCTATTGTTCTGTGGCATTGCAACTTCCTCACATACAAATGTCTTGGTTTTCACA